AGGAAATGACGAAGTTGTTTCATCACAATATTACAGCCATTCATGAGAAATTTCAGCCACCGTTTTCAGTAGACACTTTTAGACGCATCGCACGTTTAGTTCTGGCGCGTGTGGAGCACATGCCTCCACCGGACTATTACGACGGTTCAGCCGTGTGGCGTCGTGTGCGTCACTACATGCGCCAGTGGATAAAAAAGCCAGACCCGTCAGAAGTGTGCATGGTGCCGCTGCTTGACCTGGTGAATCATTCTAATCGACCCAACTGTGGCTTACGCGTGGGTCCGAGTTCTGTTGTGGGCGGCAAAGGTGCCATAACACTTTATTCCATTGCCCGCATCAACCCCGGCCAAGAGATTTGCCGGCATTACAACTTTGCCATTAATCGTCCCAATGCCCTTTTTCGCTATGGGTTTTTGCCGTTTGACTTGATTTCCATCGTGGAGCACGACGCCATTGACGAGTACCTTGTCAAGAATCAGCACATGCTGCGAGAGGAGTCGGAGGAGGTGCGAATGAAGCAGCAAAAGGAGAGGGAAGAAATTCAGAAGCTGGAAAAGATTTTTCAACACGCACGCTCGGGAAGATGATCCAATAATGCAGTAAAGAATTAGAAGCTGAAAATGCGCTTCCTGTTGATATTTGGTTGGTTGCTGCAAGAGCATTTCCTTTTTTTGTTGTTTTTCCGCTGCTGTGGGCATCGTCGCAGGGTTTTATTGTTATGTATTATTCTCGCCGTTACGGTGTGTTGCTGCCCTCTTCACTTCCGCGGTGGCTCCCACATACAACTTTTTGTTTTGCCACCCCCTTTTTCCTCTCTCTCTCTCTCTCTTTTGGTGTCAGCACATTGGGCTGGTGGCTGGGAGGAAACCGTGCCCGATACGAAAGGAGGGGCAGCCGTTGGTGTCATTATTCATTTATACGCCAATACATGATCCCGCCCCAACTCCACTTTTGGTGCTGCAGCTCTCTCATGCGTCGTCTTTACGGAATTCATGCGGCTTCCCTTCCAGCTTATTGTGTTTTCACCGGGCAAATGTGTGAGAAGAGACACAAGAAGACGGATTGTACCATGGGACGTGGGAAAAATGCTGCTGGCGTTGACGATATGGCTGGTGATTCCTGCAAAGAGAAGCCTGTGCCTGGTGACAGGCAGCCGATGATGGGCATCGGTGAAAATGTGCGTTCAGATGTGTATTCTTCATTAATTACTTTCACGGAAGTCTCTACAGGGAAAGGTGTGCGATGGTTGGATGTTGCCGGGCGGACCCATTCGTGGGCCCATGACTCGTTTGTAGAAGAGGGTGAGTTTGTGGCTCATGCCATGGTCGCACTTCGTCGTGGAGAACTGCCACCGGATATGATACTCAAAGTCAGTCATAATGTGCGCCCGTTACCATTTGTTTACGTTGAGGAGAGTTGGGCTTGTTTGACGTTGCGTTGTGCGCGACAAAACCCTTTTTGGTTTTCTATGATTTTGCCCGAGAAAGTAAAAGAGTTTTCCGCACCCGCATTGGACGATATACGGCGGTCAAAATATTCCAAATTGCAGGAAAGTGGAGAGGATGAGGATGACACTCTGGACTTTAGTGACGCGGACGATGATCAGGTGCGTCGTTATCAAGGAAAGACATTGGGCAAGAAGAAGAATGTTCGACGTAGAATGTCGTCTCAAGTCACGATAACAGAGTCAACAGATCGTCTTCATATTTTTCTGTTGAAAGAAAGCCAGAAATCAAATGAAAAGAGCGACAAACCGAATAGGTTCCATTTGGGCCCCCAGGAAGCGGAAAAACTCCCTCACAAGGGCGGTGGAGACACTAAATTGAACCCGTGTGCCGAACAGTGCTGGATAGTTACGGTCCACCGACACCGTTTGCCGTTTTTGGAGGAATTGTTGAACCAGTGGGTGAGAAGCAGACGACATGGGGATACATGGATCGGGCTATTACGGCGAATTGTTCGCGGCGCTACGATGAGTGTGCAGACTCTGGATCACAAAGATGCAGAGCGTCTTGATGAACTTGAAACGGTTTTGTTTGGATCTGCCACAAAATTGAATGAACTTTCAAAAATTCTCACGCAGTTGCATATTATTAACCGACGATCGAAGATACACGCTAACCTCCTTCGTGAGACCCAACGCTGTTACATGAAGCTTTTGACAGCGTTGAGCCTGCCCGTACAAATTGAAGACCAAAGGGAGTTAGTTTATCTCTCCACTGTCTCATCGCTGGCCGATGAACTTCATGATCAGTCGCGTTCTCTTCTCGCGCTTCAGTTTTCCGTTGCAGTTTACGTGCTTGAGGATCATCTTCGTATTCTGACCCTTTTTACAACCTTCTTTATTCCCCTTGAATTGATCACCTCGTGGTTTGGGACGAACTTTGTTGGACTAAAAGACTTTATGGAGGATCCATGGGGTTTGTTCATTGCAGGGGCCATGCTGGTAGTAACTGCAATTATCACGAACGTGTGGATGCGTCGCCCCGCCGTGTCTTTGCCCTGAAAACAGTTTTTTTTTTTTCCCCTACCCATTGACTTTTTTTTTTTTTTTTTTGTGGCGGGGAACTTATTCCTATGGCAGTAGTGAAATCCCTTCTTCTCCTTTGCTTGAAGTGAAGCGAAGTGGTGGTATGACTTATGCAAGTTTTTGCACGTCTGTAGTGGTGGGGAGAGGGACTCAGGGATGCCGCGTGTTGATGAAGCGCGTTTTTGCTTTACTTTGTTTCTTCTATGTTTTTTATTCTTCTTTTTGTTTTTCTCATGTATATGCGCCGTGTACCAATGCTGTGGTTTTCCCTTTTGTTTGATGTGTTTGCGGCTGCGCCCGCGTGTGTGTGTGTGTGTGTGTGTGTAACGGGCGTCTCCCGTCCGCGAAGGTGCGTGGGTGAATGGAGGGGTGCCTTGCTGTCTTTCCCTTCCTTTCCTTCTTTCTTTCTTTTTTCTTTTTTTTCTTTTTTTTTTCGTACGTATTTATTTAATCGTCACGATGCATATGTGTATGTACATTTGGTGTTGCGGCGTTGGACCTTTTTTTTTTTTTTTTTTTTTTTTATTGACTACATGTTGTGCGTGCCTCGCATTTCCTGATTTTCTTGTCTTTGTTGTTATTATGTTTTATCTTTTGTTGTGCACTTTATTTTGCCCGAGGGGAAGAGTTAACGTAATACGGGGCGTGAGCATCATTTCCAGACAATAGAGTGAACTTCAAGGAACCATTACTTTACTTTTCTGGCTCTCGCTCCCGCACAGACACGAATACCAGCGATCTATTCAATATATAATTAATAGGAAGAAAATAGAGATAAGGAGAAAAGGCCAATGAAGCCGTTGAATTCAAGACGTCGGACGCTGAAATCTAAATGCCCTTTGGCGGCCATTTTTCTTTCGATACCGCTTTTTTTTATGGTATTACTTTTAACGAGCATTGTTTTTGCGGAGGCACTTCCGTTTACGAAATTCTCTGGCGTTGTGGAACTAACGCCTGCAACATTTAAGAATTTTGTGTCTTCCCACAAGCCAGTGTACATTCTTTTTTATGCCCCGTGGTGCGGTCACTGCCGCAGAATTCACCCAGAGTGGGAGAAATTTGCTCAGTCTGCCTACGGCACCGTCCGCGTGGGTGCCATCAACGCCGACGAACACTCGCAGATTGCAGGGCAGTTTGGCATTCGTGGTTTTCCAACCATAAAGTACTGGAACGTGGGTGAAAAGGACATCAACAAGCCACAGGAGTACAATGGACCGCGACAGGCGAAGTCACTTCAAGCCAACGCGATGAATCAAATCACTTCCTCCGGGATAAAAGCAATTACGAGCAGTGATGCCTTGCGGGAGGCAGTACAAAAGGCACCTGAGAAGAAAATTGTGGTTCTCTTCTCTTCCAAGCCACGTATTCCCGCCATTTTTGCTGTTTTGTCACATTCCCCACGTTTGAAATCTATGCCGTTTTATTTTGTTGGTGAAAATGCTAAAAAAGAAGTCTCGGAGGAATTTGGAGTGCAGGAACGCCCGAGCATCGCTGTTCTCAACGCCACGGAAAGCGACATCAAGACTGTATTATACCCGGGAAAACAGATTGCCTATGAACCCATTGCGAAGTTCTTGTTGGCATGCGCAACAGATGATGCCGATAATTTGGATGCCGCGAAAGGAAATGCAGGGGAGCATCCACAAGAAAACGACAGTGGCAAGGGCAAGAATACCGCTGCGGCTGGTGGTGGGACACCCACGCCAGCATTACCCGTGCGCCCCGTACGACTAACCGCACAGTTGTTGGCGGACTTCTGCTTACCGGCGACACTGCGCGTACATGAACGGGCACCGCTGTGTGTGTTGTCGTTTACGTCCGCGTTTACTCTTGAGCGTGTTCACGAGATGTTTCGCAATGAACCCCTTTTATTCTTCGAGGCAGATGCCGAGCGTGATGTCATTCTTTCTGCCCTTCGGAATGATCTTGGTCTGGAAGAGGTGGCCAACAGTGTTGAGGGTGGTGCCGCT